CTCGTCTCCTCAAGCTCTGCTTCACAGCGGCGGGAAGACAAATCCCAACTTGGACGGGACGAATCCTTCGGCCTCCTCCCGGAGGAAGGTCGCGAGCTCTCCGCGCCTTGTTGCCGTTTGACGGCTGACGAGATCAATGTCCACAGCGCAAACCCACTGCACCACGTCAACATGGCGATTCACCATCGCCTGCAGCAGTCCGTCAGTCGACACGAAGCTGGTTTCCACCTCTACCGGAGCATCGGTTGACTCTAATTTCGCCTTCATCTTTGCTGTAATCTGAGGAGTTACAGTCGCTTGGAGCCACCGCAACACCCGAAGTTGACCGTAACTGGCCGCGCTAGTCGCCATCGTCTTGACAAGTTTCATCTTACGTGAACTTTCAGGCACTTTACGGAAGAACGTGAACTTCTCGTGCAGCCACGCGAGGATCCCGATCTGTCCGCAACGCGCAGCAGCAATCAACGCCTCGTTCCAGATCGAGAGTCGGCCTAGCTTCGCGTGAAGCTCTGCAGCCGGCACATTGAGGAAAATCTCGCAGTTGCCGCAGATCCAAGTCACCACGTCCAGGTGGCCCATTGCACAAGCCACGTGAAGTGCGTACTCCACGCCGTGTTGCCGGAATCGCTCCTCAGTGCGTACGGGTTGGAACTTGAGGAAGACGTACGCGAGGTACGGAAACTGTCGGTACTTGACGCCCCATTCCACGATAGACGAGTCGCCCATCAGCGTCGAGCTGTGAGTCTGGAACCATTGAAGCACGTCTCCGGCCCTGGTGTATCGCATGATCGCAGTAAAAGTCTGATGCGTGAACAATTGCGGGTGCTTGACACTGTAAAGCTGCTTCAGGACGAAGAGATCTCCACGCTGCGCAGCCCACAGCGGCATCCACTCGAGACTCAATGAGGCTTCGGGACAGTATTTAACCGCGAGACGGACGAGCTTGGTCTGCCAGTACGGGCTCGTCTTGGCTGGTAGTGCCCACGCGAACGGGTCGAACCCAGGACGCTTGCCTGTTGTAGCTGATCGCACTCCGGCAATGCGATTGGTACCAGGCCCAAGTTCGGTACCGTTCGTACCGGTAACAGCAGTGGTGGATGGCTCCGTTGACGCACTAGCACCACTAGTATCGTTGCTGATCTCCAGCGATTCCTCGTCGGGCGTTCCTCGTACGATCTCACGCTCTTTCATTGTCAGCGCGAAACTTGGAGACGCCAACTTGTTCTTCAGCAGCCACTCGATCATGTCGAAGTGGCCCAGAGACGCACAGCGATACAGCGTGCTCCCGTCCACGACATTCAGAGGCCTCGCACACCCAGACGAGCTGAGATTATCATAGGAAGATCGACGTTTGATCGACGCAGCTGACAGATCGGATACCATCGAATCGATGG